AAGGCTCATTCCACCTCAGCGCATGTAACACTCCTACGGTGGGTAAAGCATCTGCTGCTGCCGGTGTCCAGTGGGAGCACAGTGTCTGTGCTTCAGGGTGGGATTTCAGTGACTCCAAGCCAGACACTGGCCCCTGCAGCCAGGTAAGCAGTAACGGGAGGGGGCTGCAGAGCAGCACTGGGCAGGGAGGGAAGGGGTCTGGGCAGGAGAGTTCACACACACACAGGTATGGATGTGAACACAAGCCTGAGCCCTCCTATACCCCATGCTGAGCCCTGCCAGGGGGGAGGGCAGAGCCCCGTGGTTTGGAGGCTCAGCCGCAGGACACAAGGGGATAAGTGTGGCCAGGACTGCTCCCGGGTCAAGTCCTCAGGCAGGACTGCTGCCCCCGTGATTCCTCTGGCTGTGGGTCCTCCCTCTGCCCCTGCGAGGCAGGGGCTGGCGGTGACTTCCCAAGTCCAGGGTCTCCTCTGGGGCCACACCAAACCAGGGCTTTCACAGGTGCTGGGGCACACGAGGCTGCATGCCCTGGCCTACGCTCTTCTCTTGGTGGTTCAGGCTCCAAAGCAGCCAGCAAGGCCCTGTCTCTTCTCCACCTGAGTTTAATCACAGAAATCAAAGGTTTCCCTGCACCCTGGGTACCTGGGGCCGGTTTGAAGTGGCCCTTCCCAAATGCCAGCTGGGTGCAGAGTTGTTTGCATTGCAGTGCTGTGTGTGCTTGCAGCAGGGTGACATGGGTGTGTACACACGACCGGTGCAACCGTTCATCCTGTCACCCCATCATGTCAGTCCCTGGGGTCTCTTCAAGGTGCTTTGACTGTGCCTGGGGATGTGTGTGCCCTGCTGCCTCTGATAGATGCTTGGAGCTTAGGGTCCTCTTCCTCACCCCTTCTTCTGGTGCCTGGGCTCCCACCTCTCGCAGTTAATAATTTGCCTTTCCCAGCAGAGCATCGAGATCCCATAAAAGCGCATCATGGAGAACCCTTCACAAAGACCAGACCAAGCCTTGTCAGCTGCAGCATGTGGTAAGAAAACACTGGCCTTACGCTGGTGGGGACTTCCTCGCTGGCTTATCCCCACCCCAGGGTCTGCCTGGTTACTCAGCTAGCTGATTAGCATCAGGTAATGATGGAAATTCTCCAAATCCCCAAAGGCAAAGCCTCCTGAGCACCGAGCTGCCTGGGCAGCCCAGAGATGCCTCTCCCATCCAAGGAGCCTTGGTCCTGAGAGCCAGCCTGTCCATCTCTGCTTGATGTAAGAAAAACATCAATAAACCACATTGCCCTTTGAATACCGGCAGCAACAGTAAATGGCGAGAAACCCGAGGAAGGCTGAGCAAACGAACCCATTATCTCGTGAAGGGCCATGTGTAAGCTGCTGTTTTTGCAATGCAGGAGCAGGGAGTGGGAGGAGCAGTTAATGTTTTCCCAGCAAGGGGAAACTCCCCGGTGGAAATAGCGCTGCGCCCTGGAAACGGAGCCCTTCACCAAACAGGGCAGTGCTTGTGCATCCTCATCTCAGCTGGGTGCTGCTGAGCAGGATACAGGCTCTGCGGCAGCAAACTGCTCCCAAAGGGTATGGGAGCGATGAGTTCCCGTCAAAGCCCTGCATGAGCACACAGGGAAGCTGAGGCCAGGGCTGAGCTCAGCCTCACAGAGTGTGCTGGCACGGGTGGGCCCCCCAGGAAGCCCTCCCCATGCCCCCCGCCCCGCTCGCCCTTCTGGCTGCATTCAGCTCACCAGCACCCACTTGCCCCAGGTGCACGAAAGGACCAGGAGTGCAGGAGCAGGGAGAAAGCAGAGTGCTCTGGCTGGGGAAAAAGCTGAAATAGGGTGGGAGCAATGGAGCTCTGGGGAGATACACAGGAAATAAAAGAGAAAAGGCTTGAAAGAGTCTTAAAGAGCAGCTCCCCACTGAAGATGGAAGGGAGAGAAGATCCACGCTGCTGACACAAGGAGAACCTAAAGCACTGGGCTTATCTGGGAGCCAGCTAGCCTAAGGCAGAGGCCACTAAACCCACTGCTGGGAATGTGGGACTTGTTTCCCTTCCTGTGCTGAGCCTCCCAGCACCAGCATACAGAGCACTGGAAGGGAAGGAGCTGCCTCCAGCAGCCAGGGCCAAAGGACAGTGGGGCTTGCTGTCAGATAAATAATGGGTTATGCAAGGGTTTGAGAGGCTCTGTTATTACGTTTCTTAGTTCTTCTTAGGCCTGACAAGACACTGTACTGCTGGCCTCCTGCATGCAGTGCTCTCCCTGAGATATTTTGGATTTGCACAGCATAAAACTTAACCCCTGCCTCAGGCTGAAACAGCAGTACCTCACCATGGGGAGGTGAAAGCCCCCGGGAAACACAGCCTGCCAAGAGTGTGAAAGCCTGAACTGCAGTCCTGAGGCTGCTGCCTCTTGGCCAGGCAGCACAGCCTAGGGAGGCGAGATCCCTGCCAGCATGCCCAGAGCTTGTACCAGCTGCGCTCAGATTGAGTGAATTTTTCCCTACATACCTAGTGCCTGGTGCCTCAGTTTCCCATCAGAAAGCAGGGTGGTCCGCTCTGGCAGGCAGGCTGGGGCTCCAGTGACAGCCTTGTGCTTCCCAGCCACTGCTTGCACCCCGGTGAGCTCTGCCTGCACAGCGCAGGCACCGCAGCTGCGGGGAACGCTGCTACCACACCATGCACAGGGCAGTCAGGCGTTTGTGCCTGAGGTATCAGAGCCACTTCGTTGCAAATACAGAGGGAGGACAGCTAGTATTTATTTCCCAAATAATGGCTCCAGTGCCCCAACCCTTGGTATGATTCTGTGTGCACAAGGCAGGCACCGGCACTCTGAGGAAAGAAACTCCACCAGAGAAACCCCAGACCTGCAGGAATAGCTCTCTCCACTATTCCAGCGTCTCCTCCCGGTGGGGCCATGGGTATGCTGAAGGATCAGGAGGGTATGAGGTGGAAGAACCAGAGAAAAGCTGCCCCCTGAGCTCTGCCCTGTGCTCTGGGAGCCGCAGGTGTCTGCGCCACGGCTCAGAGAAGTTCAGCCTCCAGCCTGGGTTGCAGTTTTCCTTATATCACTTTCAGTGATGTTCAACATTTGTTCGTTCCGGCTGTAAAACCTCTCCTGGCTCTACACCAGATATTTTCTCACCTCAGTGCCTCAGCCAGAGCAAAGATAACTGTTGGAGTATGTGCAGCTCAGACACGCTGGCCTTCGTGATTAACGCGCTCTTTGTTCCAGGTGTGCTGCATGGCAGGAGGGGTGGGAGTGAACTCCAGATGTACAGCCCCCCACGACGCCCTTGCTGCTGCAGAGGGAGGTTCGTGGCCCATGCCCTGTTGCGCAGGGCACCGTGTCCAGCGGAGAGTGGCTTTAAACAGGAGCAGAGGCCCAAGTGATGGCCGTAGCAAAGTAAAATCCAGATCTGCCGGCCCAGGCATTTGCGATCAGGAGCGCAGTGGGCAGGAGGTTTCCCAAGTTTTGTGCTCACATTAGTACAGTGTTCTGAGCACCAGCTGGGATGACGGCCCTCCTGTGCGTGCACAAACGCTGCGAGCTCCCCGTTCCCACGGGGCTCGCTCTCCTCACAGGTCAGGCTGACAAACGGGAGCAGGACAAAGCCTCTGGCGACTTTCCCTGAGCCTGCAGCATCCCACACGGGCCAGCCCGAGGGAGCCCAGGCAACCAGCTCCAGCACCTCTGTTGCTGAAGGGCTGTCGGCACAGCTGAGCGGCACGAAGAAGTCGGTTCGCTTTGGGACAGAGCTTGATGAAAACCCCAGAAATAGGAACACTTGAACCAGTTCCCACAGCCAGGTTAGTGCCCGAGGGTGGGGACAGCTTCATGTATGGAGAAGGAGCCTCAGAGCAGCTGCTGCTCTGCTTACAGCAGGATTTCACGTTGCAAAGCTCTGCTCGTTTTTCACTCCCAGGAAGCGAATAGTCTCTTGTTTAACCAGCCCAGGAAGCCCCTGATGGGGTGCCCACCGGGTTTGGGACAGAGAGAAGTGACGTTCCCTGGAAGGTGGCTTCCTCTTCGTTTCGCTGCCCGGTCTGAAGTCTCTCCTGGTGAGCCAGAAGTGGAGGAAGATCTTTGGGGGCTCTTGTCGGGGCTGAGGGCGAGAAGGCAGCGAGTGACCCCGGGGACACCCACCGCCCGTCTGCCACCGGCGAGCTGTGCACCCTCCGAGGGCACCGTGTCCCCCGGCTGCTGGCGGGGCCCCCCCCGTGCCCCCTCTCTGCGCGGAGGGCAGCCCGAGCGGGGCTGCCCCAGCGCCTTCCCCCCGCCGGCACCCTCCGGGCTGGCGCCGCGGGACGGGGACGGGACAAGCCCCCGCCAACCGCGACGCCGCGCAACCCGCGGTGCTGCCGGGTGGCGCCGGCGGGGGAGCGGGGTGAGGCGGGGGGTGCCCCGCCGCCCCCGGCTCCTCTCCGCCTGAACACCGTCCCCATGCCCCCTCCCGGGAGGGCACCCGCAGCCCGCCCACCCCCTCCGCGGGGCAGCGCGGCGCGGTCCCCGGTAGCGGCGGGGCGGAGCTGTCCTTCAGCACCACGGCACCTGCCGCCGCCGGTGCCCGGGCCGGGCGGTGAACGGGCGGCGGCGGCGGCGGCGGCGGCGGGGGGCGGCGGGGAGGTGGGGGGGGGGGGGGGGGGAGGCGGCCGGTCGGTCGCGCAGGCGCAGGGCTGCGCGGCTCCTCAAGGTGTTGGCGGCGCGGCCGAAGATGGCGACAGACTGAGGGCATGGGGCCCGGCGGCGGCGGGCGCGGCGCGGCCCGCGAGCTGGCGCAGCCGACGGGGAAGCGGAAAGCCGAGTGAGCGTGGGCCGGGGCATGCCCCCGAGCGGCGGGCGGCGCGCCGCGGCCGGGGCCGGGGCCGGGGCGGGGAGCGGCGGCGGCGGCGGCGGCGGCGGCGGGGCCGGGGCAGCGCGGCGGCCGGCGGCGGCCTGTAGGCGGGGGCGCGGGCATGGCGGCGGCGGCGGCGGCGGCGGCGGCAGCGCGGCGCGGCGGCCGCAGGTGACAGCGGCGGCAGCGCGGCGCGCCCCGCCGCCGCCGCCGCCGCCCCCCCGCGCCGCCCCCGCAGCATGATCCGCGGCGCCTGGATGTACCCCCGCGGGGGAGCCGCCGGCGGGGCGGTGTGCTGCGCGCCGCGCCGCAGCGACAAGCCGGTGGCCGACCCCGAGCGGGCGCAGAAATGGCGCCTCTCGCTGGCCTCGCTCCTCTTCTTCACCGTCCTCCTCTCCGACCATCTGTGGCTCTGCGCCGGGGCCAAGCTGCGGGCGCGGGAGCGGAGCGGCGCCGGGCGGCCGCGGAGCCGCGGGCCGCGGGCCCTGCTGGCGGCCGAGCCGGCGGGCGGCAGCTGCGAGGCGCTGCTCGGTAACCTCAGCCGGGCCCCCGGGCCCTGCCCCGCCGCCCGCGGCGACCTGGACTCGGCCTGCGCCCGGCTGCACGCCCTGCAGCGGCCGCGGGGCTCCCCGGCCGGCGCGCCCCTCCGCTCGCCCCCCGCCGCCGCCCCCTTCTTCGCCTCTCCCTCCTCCAAGAGGACCTTCCTGCAGGCTTACTTTAGGAACTTCAACCTCTCCTTTTGTGATACTTACACGATCTGGGACCTGCTGCGGGAGATGGCCGGCCCGGACGGCCTGGACTGCAGCGTGGACAACCTGATGGTGGACTTGGTGGTGGCGGCAGCCGGGGCGCTGGGCGGGGAGGCCTGTAGCAGCTGCGTCCAGGCGTACCAGCGGCTGGACCAACACGCTCAGGAAAAATACGAGGAGTTCGACCTCTTGCTGGAGAAGTACTTGCAATCAGAAGACTACTCGGTCAGATCCTGCCTGACAGACTGCAAGGTAGGACGGGGGGGGGGGGGGGTTGCTCCGGGCTCGCTCCCGCCGAGCGGCGCGCTGTCCCGCAGCCCCGCGGGGGTCCTGGCTGTGGGAGAGGGCCGTGGCCCTCCTGCCCCCCACGCCTGCCGGAGCTGGGCTCCCGCCTGCCCGCGGGCTGGGGAGTCTCCCTCTGCCCCCGAAGCCTGGCAGTGCCAGCGGGATGGGACTGGAGCCCTCCAGGCAGCTGGGACGGGGCGGTGGGAGCGAGCGGGCAGAGCGGGGCTCGGCCTGAGCGTGCGTGCGCTCACGCGTCCCTTCGCACTCATCCATGCTCCCCGCCAGCCTCACCTGCGCCCCTTTACGCACGCACCTCTGTGCGCACAGGCTGAGCTGGGGCGGGCGGGGGGGCCCCTCACCGCTGCCTCTGGCCTGCTGGTGCTGCCAAGTGCTGGGGCAGGCCAGAGCTCTGCCCGCCCGTTGTTTGGCTGAGCTGTGTAGATGAGCGGTGACCTGAGATGAACCATGGTGCCAGAGCCCCTTCCCCGCACGCAGCGTCTCTTTTTGAGTCCTTCCACCCCTTTTCCCCAGGGAGATGGGCCGGGGGTGCCAGGATGTGCCTCCCCACTTGGCATTCCCCCAGCGTCACCGACTGTCCCCAGCCCCGGAACACAGTCCATGTTCCGAAAGCACATGATTTGCCTCCCACAGCATCCATAGCCTCGAGCCTCAGCATGATGCCCTCTCCTCTCCAAAATGAGAGTCGTGGTCACAACTCTGTCCGGGGCCCCCGGCACGGTTCTGCTGGGCGCACCCCTGCTTTCTCACCGGCCCCAGTGCCGTGTCTCCTCCAGCCTCCGCCTGCTCCGAGCTGCCTGGCTCACCTGCGTGTGCTCCCTCCAGACATCACCTCTGGGAAGCGTCATGGTCTTGATAATTAAACCTGCTTTCCCTTTCTTGGACCCATGTCTTGGGGGAGAGGCAGCAGGGTGTGTTACAGCATTGTCTCCAGAGGGAGGATGGCAGAGCATCCCCCGGTGATAGGACGGGTCTTGGCCACCGCTCTTCTGGGAGAGTTTTGAGGGACACTTGGAGCTGCGGCGGTGGCGCGGGTGGCTCCCAGCGTGGCGTTTGTCCCCTGGGAAGGCGCAGGAACAGCACCGGGGCACAGTGTCGGGGACACCGAGGTGCTGCCTTTCATCAAGGGCACAATGGCGAGATCCTAGCCGCCACTCTCGTGCCTGTCTTTCTTCATCACTGTTGTGAGGAGCTCGTTTTGGAAAGGACCTAGTGCTGGCGTTCTGGGCTGGTGCCAGGCCAGGTAATTACAATCTGCTTGCCCAAATTCCCCCTGCGGTTTCAAAAGTACGTAGTATTCAGCCTGCACCGTGTGGTTTGGTCCTGCTGCTCCGCTTCCGCAGTGAATGAAGGGATTCAGCGCTGCGCTGCTCCCGCTCCCGGGGTCCCAGCAGAAGTGGGGTCTTCCTGTGCCGTCTCCTGTAGCGTGTATAGACACCCTCACTTCAGGCTTGGCATCCACCAGAAAAATAAGAAAATAATCATTACCTTTGGGTCTTGGGCAAGGAGATGTTCCCATGGACTCTAAAGGATCTAGAAACAGAGCCGTGCTTAGATGAGTCTTCATTAAGTGTCCCTGGTCTTAACATCCGTGAGGAGAAAACAAGGAACAAGCAGAGAAGACGCAGAGCTGCAGGTAGCAGCGGCAAGATGAGTACCTCCTAACTTGCTCCGTGTCACGCTGACAGTCGCACCCTTAGAGCATCTGGGAGCACCAGCTCTGCGATTTCACAGGCAGCATTGGGGAAGCAACAGGCAGGCACGAGCAGCAGGGTCAACCTCTACATGCTCACCTGGGCCACCCGCGAGGACATTTCCAGTGCGGGTGCCCGAGTCTGCCCGCACTGACCCCAGCCGCGCAGCACGTGCTCGTTTCAGTCTCTCGTGAAAATCAGGCCACTTGTTTAAGGTGCTTCAATACATATTTAGGTGCCTTACTTCGGACTTTCACAGCTACGAGTCTCTACCTTGCCCTCTCAGTGGCTGTTCCCCATTTGTGAAATGAGGCTAACGCCAAACTCATCCAGTGTTGTGGTGACGAGTGAGTTTTGGCCTGATTTCAAGTCCCCTGGACTTCAGCAGGGGCTGCAGTTACTCATTGCATTGAAAAAATCTGGCTGGCGGGATTTTTAAAGCAGCCTGAATTTGTGATTCCTATCCAGATGCTGAATAATACCCGCTTGTAAATGACAGCATAGAGCTACCGCTTGATGGTTGGAACTAGATGGTCTTTAAGGTCAGTTCCAACCAAACCGTTCTATGATTCTATGATACGAGAGCAAATGACAGCAAAATAGGAGAGGAGTGGAGGAAAATATAATAGACAGCTCAGCCAGCGTGAGAGGCTCCTGCAAAATCCTTGTAGCAGGACTCTGGCTGCAGAGAACCCTGTAGCTGGGTAAACAGGATTTAAATAATGCTTCTGGGGCTGGGTGAGTATGCGGGGCAGGGGACTGTGCTCACTGTGGGAGGTTAGTGCTGGGGGGCGTTAGTGCTGCCTCCCATTTGCATCCTTCCTATTCCATAAAAGCGGCTGGAAAAACAAGGCGGGGAAACAAAGCAGCTCCAGTTCACCTGCACACAGCCTCCCTCTGCAGAGCCACGTACCCCCCCCATAATTCCGTCCCCAAGGAGCAGTGCGGCTCAGTAAAGAGCACGCATGGAGCTCTTTGGCAGCCGAATCACCCCGGTGATTTTGGCTCTTTATTGCATCTGCTTTAAAACAAGAACAACAAAAGCCCCTCCAGAGCAGCTGGTTCCTTCTTATGGCAGCAGGTTTGACCCTGAGTTAAAAACTTGGAAACAGCTAAGCGTTGTGGGTTGGTTTCAGGAGACACACAAGTCCCGTCGTTCCTTGTTAATAAATTATCCTGAGGGCTGCCCCTGGTTTCAGGGCACTGCGCTCAGCGGGGGAAAGGCAGCTGCGCGCCGGGGGGTGAGCAGCATCCCGAGTATCCAAACCCTGGATCCGTCTGCACCCGGAGCCTGGGGGAGCGCTCAGGGATAGCTGGGCCAAAATCTCCCTGGGAGCTGTGGGAGATAGAAATACCATGAAATGGTGGGGTCTCTGTGTAATTCAGCTGCTTAGATTTCTCATTGCTGTAATACTCTCGTAGGCCTTTTTATTTTCTGCTCGAAAATAATTCCCAGGCAGATCCCGCTTTCTCCATGCGTTGTTGTTATTCCCGTGCAGCACCATCAGCTTCCAAATCACACTCTGAAAATGTTTTACTTATTACTCCTACAACTAACACCAAAAATCCCTGTGGCTGAGAGACAGTGAAAATACATTTCTCGGGTTTATTGTTTGTTTGCATTTTACATTTGATGGGGTTTGGTGGAGGCTGGCTCACACAGCCCCTCGCAGGCAGAGTCCCCGGCACCGTGCAAACAGGGGAGGGAGAGGACAAAGCGGGTCCACAAGGTCCATCCATCTTCTGAAATACATTTTCCCTCTTGCAGTGAAGAAGACCTGAGTGCCAGCTGCTGGGATCATGATGGTAGTTAACAGTGACGTGCATAAAAGAGGTGGAAAATACTTGTGCTTTTCCGCCTATAAGAGGGAAAATTCATTAAATGAATTGGGAGAGCTCCCTGCCGCCTCCATCTCCCCTCTTCCTGTGCAACTTGTACCCTTTGTCACTGCAAGACACAGTGAACTTCGTGCACCCAGCAGTTGTGGTGACACATTGGTAGCATCCTTCAAAAAGGCTCGGGGAGGTCACGGCCCAGGGATGTGGATGTTGCAGCTGATTGTCCCTCGGGAGATGCGGGGCAGTGGCAGCCCTTGCAGCATGTGAACCGTCAGCTCAGGCTTTGCGGGACTTAGTGCAGGATGAAATCCCCGTCCCTCCAAAGTGATGCCCTACGGGTTGATTGTGGCTGGTTTGTGCCTTTTTTCTGTCTTTCTGAACAGGCAAAAAGCAGCATTGCTCCAGGTCAGCCGCTGCCAGAGGAGTGGTTTGTTTCTGTAAAAGCAGAACACAGCGTTTGTGCTGTCTCCTTCACCAACAGCCACTACGGAGAGCTCTCCTAAAAGTGCACACTCCCACCAGTACTAGGGCAAATCAAGATCTATGGGACAAAGCCTGCTGAATTAAGGACTCATTAGGTTGCAAGAAACAAAGCTGTGGGGAGAGAAGGACTGACAGCCAGGAGCTGCAGGGCCAGCGCTGGTAACAGAGCGCTGGTGGGAAGGCAAGGCTGGACAGGACCTGTAGCATCTCAAATTATATTAGATTACCAGGGCTTCTCTGTGCGCGTCGGCCAGGGGCTGTTGAATCCCACTGCGACACTGGGCAGATCTGTTTCTGCACCTCTGGTTTCCCCATTACCTACCAGAGGGCCCATCTAGGGGAGCCTGGCAGGGCAAGATTTCACTCCCGAGGCTTTCGTGACATGCCGGTGTTTCCCTGCTGTGGGTGCCCGGGCGATGCGGTGAGTTGATGGAGGCTGGTCCCTGCTGTAAGGTGCTGTGGCATCGCGCCTGGCACAGCCCGTACCGAACGGCACAGCCCACAGTGAGCAGCTGGGGGGCAAAGCTGCAGTGACCGGGTTCACCACCTTCTGGGGGTCCTGTTTTCTTGGTCTTGTTTGGCCAGAAATAGCATCAGCGATCGGCATCTCGGCCGAGCTTCCCTCCCTGTGGAGCATCTTCTGGAAACTCGAGTGCACTGGGACCAGGAGCTTTGGGAGGGCCATATCTGGGGGGGCATTCTGGTGCCAGGGACACCTCTTAGGGGAACCAGAGCAGTGTTTTATCTTCACAAAAGCAGATCGAGTTGAGTTTGTCTGGGCTGGGCTTAACCAAAATGCTGCTCAACCTGGTATGCTCTGTCTCCGAGCCTGGATGGCTCCTTGCATGGAGACCCTCATGCAGAGGGGAGGTACCTTGAGACCCACAGCAAAAGTAGTTTCACCAAAATCTTGCTTTTTTTTTTTTTTTTCTT